TGATGCGATGAAATGGAAGAAAACATTGTCCTCTGTCTGACAGCCGTGTGTAAAAGTCCACTACGTGAGGCTGCAGCGTATCGAAACTACCTTCCACTCAGCTTTCCCACCTGTAGTCCAAGCGTCAATTGTCTGAAATTGGACCAAATTGCTCATTCAATGTTTCAATTTGTACAAAGACGATTTTGGGCGCAATTTGAATGCAAGCGCAAGCCGACCAATGTATTCTCTGACTAAAAAATGTTAGAGTTCAGCTAATAACAATCAATGTTTTCTCGTTTTCCATTACAATGTCGCTTTGTCTACAAAAGAGTGACTCCCAACGACTTAACTGTTGCGAAAAATATTGTCCGACGGAAGATCACTTCGTCCACTGCGTCATCGCCTTTGATAATGTCCAGCGCAGTTGTGGCCGAAACGTCAGCAAGAAATTCCCATGGACCACGGCTTCAAAGCCCGAAAAACATTTCTAAGTGTGATTTGACCGGCCGTGAAAGCCTTCATGGCCAATTACGATTTGTTTTTATCGTTATTGAATGCGAAAACAATCAGCCCACTTCACAATTGAATGGAACAATTCGAAACGTGGCAAGGGGTGCTCAAACTGGTCGGCAATAAACTAATAGGATCAGCAAGATCAGGACCGGGTGTCGCCGCCACTGAGCTCGTTATTCGCTTGTTAGAGACAAATGAAAATCACACCGCGGCCCACTGAATCCATTTGTCATGTGTGCGACCAGGGGGGGCCCTGTAGGGGGTGCGCCTAATTAGCCCTATTTATATACACTTTCCGAATTGGTTTCTGCAATTGTTTGATTGTCAATTGTCGGGAACGAAACGCGATTATTTTCGCGTAGTTGGCCCGCTGTCGCGATTGGACCAATCGCATCGCTGCATGATTTAGCTGGAGAAAGCCAGCGCTTGTCCAACGGCCGATTTTCGCTTCTTCATCAACCCGCCTCCCTTGTGCGAAACAACGAAAAATAGAGAGCAAACACAATTAAAAGCCTCTTATCACATTGTTTGCGCCCCATAGGGGGGTGCGTGTTTAGCCGAAAATAATAAAACAAAGAGTAATATCACGTTCCAATTAGAGCGACTGAATGAAATGCCTTAAAGTGGGCTGAAATGGGATTTCCGTGCGCTTTCCATGTGGGGCTGAGGGCACTTTTCGGCGGATCGCGATGGATGACTGCTCCATGACTGGGAAATCGGCCCGTGTTGAAGTTTTACACACCCGATTGAAGGGCAATCAATCAATTTTTTCGGTTTTTCAAAAGCCCCCATTGGTTGATTTGAAAATTGAAAGGCAAATGCAAAATGAAATGTTGAGATCGAAACACCAGCACACAGAGGAGGCATTTTCTTGCTCGGCAAAAAATGCATGCCAAGGCTTAAAGCAGCAACAACGCTACACATAAAAACTGATGATGGTGGAAAAATACACCGAAACGTATTTTGATTGATAAATAGAGACAATAAATGACTGAAACCCAGGAATTAATTTGATTTGGAATTCGACTTAGAGCAAATGGTAAATAAATTGTGAATTTTTACTGTGTCCTTTTTACATGCAAACTGGGGCCCGGTTTAAGGTGGCCGAGTAACCTGAACGTGTGCATTTTAACATGTTATATTAATTTTCTCGAAGCGATCTTTATAAGTAATAGTTTTTAACATTTTATATAAGAGGGCACAAAAATCGTGTGGAAACCCGCAAGTGTGACTTGAACAGAGCGCTTTAGTTAACTATTTTCCTGAATTCAGCTAAGTTTCTATATACGTATTACTCAGTAAACATCCAGCTTTTTGATGGTTAAAAAACTGGCTGATAGTTTTTGCTCCTTTTTGGCCAAAATGGAAAAAATTTCTCCAATGTTGTCACTGTGAAACTGAAATCAGTCAACGTCCGGGTGTTTAAAAAGAACTCGGCAATATTTAAGGGCGTGATTTCTTCGGTCATTTTATGAGAAAAAGTTCATCAGAAGTCCAAAAGTGCACAGGGTGTTTAAATTTTGGTTTTATTTTTGTTTTTTTTTCTATAATTTTTTAAATAATGCCAATATATTAGTGGAGTTTGGTATTTAGGTGTTTCTGAATTAGCAACTTGTAGGGGGCGCCATTAACATGATTTTTTAGCAGTAAACATTCAGCCTTTTAATGGTGAAAATTTGGCAGGCATTTTGCTTCTTGTTGGCCAAAACAAAACAAACTGGTCCAGTGACTGAACATTTTACAAATAAGTCACATTTGTTCTCCAATTTTTCCTCATGTCTGGGTTCTTTCATAGAAAAGCATCAGAATCTGGTGAAAATAAAAAACGATCATTTATTTTCAGATTTCAAAAATTTAAAAAAAATCAGATTAACCGTGATTTTCTATGAATTTTATTATAAATTTTTGGTGTCCTTTTGTTCACATTTTTTTGTGCAAGTTGAAGGTAAAATAGGGATGACTGACAAGTTAACTTTAAAGCCTCTTTAAACTTAATTTAATTTAGAATAATTGAGGTTCATCGGACTGCTACGACTCCATAAATCTTCCGTAGTTTCAACAGGCGTTGAATATACAAATTCTTTTTTAAACCCCCCTAGTGGGCGAAGTAAAATTGAAACTTTCCCGTCTCTTTAGTGGTCCGATCGTCCGTATAACTTTCAACCATAAACCAACGGGAGGAACATCGCCTGGAGAACCAGCAAATCCGTATTCATTATCTTTTAAACCGAAAACCGCAACAGATGTTGCCCTTTGTGTTGCCACACGTTGCAACATTCGAACCCTCTCCAACCATAAATAAACAGCCCTTATTATGGTGGACGAAAAAACCCTTCGGCCCCAAAACAAGTGCAAATCGGCAACGGGTTGTCGTTCCAATCGGGTGCACAAAGCCAAACAACCTGGCTCACTTTTCCATGTCTGCGTAACTCTATTAGAGCCTTGGGGGTGTGGAAGGTGTTGGATTAGATTGCAGCAGCAATTAGAGCAGGCTAATGAGCCTCTCTGGACACAATTATGTTCGTCACGTTTTCATTCCTGCTCTTGCTTTGTTTCGTGTAGCATTTGTTTTGTGCCTCTGAGCATTTTTCGGATTTTCATTAGAGTAGTCGGGATGTTTAACAATTCGCTTTTCGCCTACGTACCATAGAACAAGGCTTCTATAG